GTGTTTGTGAAAAGAATTTTAGAATTTATGTCACATTTTGTTGTGCCAAATTACTTTCAACCAGGCGTGCACAATGTAATACCAGATGTCCAAACTCAAGTTGGTTTGAATGTTGATAATTAATGGCAATTTTCATTCATAATTTGACATAAATTTCACTCCTACATACTATGTACTTGTGCATCTGTACAGAATGGGGTATATTGCCCTGTGCTAACACCAGATGCATTGTGTCAGGATAAAGTCTATCAGCCCCATGGATTTTTTTCCAGCTGAAAATGTAAATACCCTATCAAAATCAAATGTTGAAGTCGTAGAAATGTAGGCTTGGCCTTCGCTACTGATGTTGCTGTTCTTGTTCTTACAAAAGTTCTATGGGTGTTTGCTGTTTTGGTGAGTTCTGTTAACAAGACTAGTTTAGCAACACATATAAAAGAGAGTATTTTACTATGTAATCAAATAATTAACTCAGTGACACATCCAACAGGTTCATTTGTGTGCTTGGGAGTTGAACTGCATCGATAGACAGGTATGTAAAGGCAATTCCTTTCTCTCTTTGAAAAATTATGAGCACAAAAATCATGCCACTAATTTCAAAAAATTCTTTGTAGGTTTTATTTGTAAAGAGGTTTTATTGTAGTATTTACCATTCAAGAGCAAGACATGTTGCTAACCACCATGCTGAAGTGATTCTGAAGTGGGATTGGATTTCCTTTTCAAATCTGGCTAACGCCAGGTAATATTTGTGGAACCTTTAACGTCTGCGGATATACATTCCAAAATCTGAAAGGGTAAGACTTTCAAAGATACAAGTGAAAATCATTTTAAGAAAATTCACCTGCACCATTTGACATCCAGTTTTCATCTTTTCAGGTGTCTTTCTCGCTCTATTAGTTATCCTTAAGTATTTGTGGATGAGAAGGAGCAACAGACATTCAAGCTATTACGAGATTTTAAAGCATACTACAGAACGATACATTTCAGCCTTGCTTATTCAGAGCAATGCTATTCTTCTGTTTTCCACTCCCTCATCTCTTCTGCTTTTCTGTGATTGTTCTCTGCAGTACTTTGTAAGTAATTAACAGTGCAGCAGCAGTGAGTTGCAGACACACTTTTGGATAGAGTTAAACTTAGATAGACAATGTGTAAGGATAGTGTGTTACAGAACTATGATCAAAGTTGTGCTGCCTTTCATTGCATTTTGCTAAAAGCAAGTTTTAAATCTCAAGTTCAGAATGGAGGTTGTGTATCGGAATTCAAGAACGAAGTGTTCTGCAAATTTTACCAGACACTCAGATTATATTTTCAAAAGTAAATATATACATTTGAAGTTTGTCTAATGTCTCATTCAAGTTGTAAACTCAAATGGATTAATTTTACAGTATGTTTTTACTAAAGTACAAAAATACCAAGTGCTACTTCTCATCTTGATTGTGGAATGTATTTCTTTTTCTGTTTGTGGGCCACATCCCAAATAAATAAGGAATTTTGTTATAAAATTTTCTTCAGCTCATTCCCTTACCCCTATCTCCCTTAAGAAATTAGTATTTGTGTGGACTTTGGAAAAATGAATTATTTCTACTTGCTGGAAGGACAGAGTGATAATGCAGCTGGTTCAACTATTCTCTTCCCCGACATCACTGAGATTGGATATTGATTCTGCTCTTGTTCACCCACCACTACCCTTTCTTTCCTTTATCACACTAACCCTCAGCTGCAACCATATGGGTACTTGGTACCTGCCTAGATTTGATTTCAGTAACCCATTGAACACATTTTGTTGGTAGCATTGTGTACATGCAAAAATATCACACCACCTTCAACCATGGTGAAAGAGGACACTGCTGACTATTTAGAGAGGGAACATGGATTGTCAAAATGGTTGAAACTTTAAATGCAGTACAAAGTACTCCACATTCCCAGTAAAATTTCAGATATATGCACATAAAGGAGAGAGATTGAAAACAGTATTACATTGCATAGATTATACTTTGTTACAACATTTGCATATAACATTCACATTAATATTTTTTGTTTATATAGTACAACATTCATTCACAAAATACATTTATTATTACTCGTACTCTTCCCTATGAATCACAGAGGGATAACAGTTTTGACTATGTGCAACAAGAGAGAACCTTTGCACTGAAATTGTGATCTAATACAGCATGGCTCACTAGGCAATTGGTGCCAAACTGAAAGGATATCAAAGCAAAAGAATATTGTAGCTCAAAGCGAGATGAGTCTGAAAAGAGATTTCCCTTGGCATTACTACCCATCACTTACCAGTTTTAGACAGATTACAGTTGCTTGAATTTACATAAAACAGACGTACCATAAATAACACCCTTATAATTCTTATAACAAAAGAGGCGACTCTCAGTTCTTCACCAGTTGATGCCCTTACTACAATAGGATGTTTTAAGAGCCTGGCACCAAGTATGCGGCGTTTCACTTGATTTCAAAAAAGAGTCTACATCAGACAAAACTTTGAAAATACTACTAATGCTTACAGACACTTCCAAATAGATGGCGAAACACTACACTGAAAATTTTCTGTGGCTCATCCATCTTGCGTACTTGAAAATAAGGTGCTCTGCAGATCCCACGGTAAGGGAGCGCTTTCCCTTTCCATGCATTGCAAGACAACCTGCAAAGAGTTATCAAAGATATTATATTTTCATGGCTACAGTCTCCATCAATCAGGTATGAAAGGTACAGTGTGAAATTAATACTTACAGTGCAGGCAACTCGACTGGGCCTTTGCTCGATCCATCAACAGATTTCCTTCGTCAATGACATAACAGACTGCGCATCCCTCTCCTGCAAACAGCAAACAGACATAAATACTTCTGAGCAAAATAAAGGGCGACAATGAAATGAGACATACGCAGCAACACTTACAACACGATATCAGATTTCAGCTAGGTGAACAGCTTGCATTCCTGGCTCAGCTGCCACGCGAATCCACGAAGACTATAAAGTGTCGATAGGATAACTTGAAGTCCTGGACAGGGATTTGGACTCGGAACAACCTAATGTAAAAGAACAGCAGATTAGCCAAAGCATCTTACATGACAGAAACGCAGTGCTCAGATAGACGCAGCACTTGCGGGCGGAGAGAGAAATGTGCGAAAAATCGCACGCAAAAAGCGAGGCACAGTCAACAGGTCCAGAAAGTTGCGTGCCACGAATATTCACTGTGTTCAGCACTAGTAGCGGGAGGTTATGTACACAGCGGTGCACAGCATAAAATAGCAACAAGAAACATGATCGTGCGAAACATTGACCACGTTCACAGAGACTTACGCTCCCCTAGCACCCACGCCGCGTTGAGACCGCTGACACATACCGCTAACAGATTCTCAAAGTATTGGAAATCGATTGATTCTCAGATTAGATTGTGTTTGTTTACGTTTCGGTATCGGCATTGTACGACGCACCGCACTTGCTTCAGAGGTGAGGCGAGCAGAGGAGGTCGGGGGCGAGGCTAGGCGCCGCGTATGAGAAACTCGGCTTGGAGCGCGAGTTCCAAACGCAAAGACGCACATCACGTTGAGGCCCGAGGTCACGGAACAGCATTGCACTTGACGGCGGAATAAAGTAACGCGGATAACGATCGAGCAGGAGCAGGACACACTACGGCATTACACATGCGTTACACCGTTACACACCTGTGACGGACCTGGACGGACGTCGGTAGATCAGTCAGTTACCGTCGGGCGCCTGCCGAGGAGGCGGGTAGGCAACCTACTCGGCTCGGCGCCGGCAGGGGTTGCCTACTCACCAAGTGATCCAGTCGAAGGCCGCCCGACCTGATGCGGCAGGATGATCACCCCACACGGGGCTCAAGGCAGCACAGCGCTTACCACTTTCGTCCGTAATGGGGGCGCACCGATGCACTGAACTTCTTACAACACGGTGGAGGAAAAGCATGCATCGCTCCACCGTGTCATACACGTAGAAGGGCAGAGACGGGAGCTGTGGCGTAAGGCGGTTGGTTGGCTGTCCCCAGGGGAAGGACCTTGCAACCCCCCCCCCCCCCCCAAGTCATGCGGAAGGACAGCAAGAAG